CTCAGTCCCGCCCCACAACCCCCTGCCATGCCCCCTCAGTCCCAACCAGCAGCTCCCTGCCATCCAAATCCTGGGGCCCACTCCCGCAGCCCTGCCAGTGCCCCTCAGTCTCGCCCCACAGCCTCCTCCATAGTGCGGGCGGGTGGGGGTGTCTCACCTCGGCCTGGTCCTTGCGGAGCTGGGATTTGATGTAGGAGGTGCCTTTGATCAGCGCCCGGACGTGCTGCTGCTTTTCGCGCTGGGTGGATTGGGAGATGGGGGGGGGGTTCAGTCCTGGGGTTGCTTCGAGACAGTGTACCTGCTCCCCCCGTGCCAGGAAGGCACCCATATATTCAGCCCCGCAATCCCTCCCTTTCCCCCCAGAAGGCACCCCCATCCTCCCACAACTTGTCCACTCCCTCCCTTCCCCCGTCATCCCCACACCCCTATATTCCCCCCCAGCATGCACCCCATCTACTTCCTCCCCCCTAGGCCAGCCAGGTACCCTGTGGATCCCCCTCCAAGAACCCCCCACCCATGGGCCCCTTCCCAGCCAACCCCCCCCATATCCTAGTGTGTGCCCTATTGCCCCCCTACCCCCCAGGCAGATCCCATGTCCAGAGGTTGCCCTGCTCTAACCCCCAGATTCCCCCCCCCGTACTCACCACCAGGTGGCGGAAGTCCAAGATGCGCTGCCGCTTGCTCTGCAAGGCCTGCAGCTCGGCGTGGCGGGCACTCGCCTCCCGCTCCAGCTCCCGGCAGCCCCGGTGCAGCCCATCCCGCAGCCCCGCCAGCCGCACAGCCCGCAGCTCCAGCTCCAGCACTGCCCTGGGGGCCGGGCGGGACAGGCCGGCTCAGCGGGCGGATGGGGACCAGCAGGGGGCGCACTGTGTAGGTCTGGGGGTGGGGGGAACCACATGGGCAGGGAATCTTCCCAGCAGGGGGCACTCTCCCAGGGGTGGGTGGTCACTGACTGTGCAGGAGGGACCCTGGGTGGTGAGGATGTCTCCCCGGCAGGGGATGCTCACCACAGGCCCCAACAGCACAGGGGGACCCCACGGAACAGGGTAGTCTCCCCAGCAGGGAGCGCTCTCCAGGGGCCCTCACAGCGCAGGGGGACCCCTGGAGCGGGAAGTCTCCCCAGCAGGGGACGGTCTCCCAGGGGTGGGTGGTCACGAACTGTGCAGGGGTGAGCCGAGGGGGTGGGGTGTCTCCCAAGGCCTGGGGCAGCTACCTGGCGAGGATGGCGCGCTCCGAGCCGTCCGCCAGCAGCCGGTGCATCTCCTGCACAAGGGAGGCCAACTGGGCTGTGCCGTGCTGCTCCCGGGCCTGTAGGGGGAGCTGTTGCACCCACAGCTCCTCACACCTGCTCCAGCCTTCCTGCAGCCAGGGGGAGGGAGCAGGTAAGGAGGGGCCAGGGGACACTGCCCCCTCCCCCCGCTATATCCCAGCCAGAGATATGGCCCTGAGGTCCTCCCGCAGTCGCTGGGACCCCCCAGCACTGAGATACAGCCCCCTCCCCTGCTATATCCCAGCCCCCGGAACCTCCAGCCCCCAGATGTACCACCCCTCCCCCCGCGCTATATCCTAGCTGTTGGGACTGCCCAGTCCCCAGACGCGGCCCTGCCTGCCCCTCCCCATGTCCCCACTCACCTGTATGAGGCCCCGGACCGAGGGCAGGGCTGCTGGCGGTCCCGCCAGGTCTTCCAGGCGGGCGCTCTCGTAGCGGAACCTGCAGGCCAGAGGGGAGAGGTACAGGCCCCCGCACTGGTGACATGGGTCACTGCAGCACCGCTGGGGTGACAGCCCCCCAGAGCCCTGACTCTGCCCCCTGCAGTACAAACTGCCACCACCAGGGTGCCAAAGCCCCACAGCAGCCCCTCTCCTGAGCTCTGACTCTGCCTCCCCCCAAAACAGGCCACCCCCACTGGGGGGCGACGGCTCCGTACAGCACCATGCACCCACACTGCCACCCCCTTAGTGGTACCCACTTGAGTGCCTCTACGTCGCGGGGAATGTCAATGCGGCTGGTGAGCTCTTGCATCTGCAGGGTGTTCTCCAGGGCCAGGTGCTCCAGGGCTGCCAGGACGTGGTTGGGAGGGTGGGAACCCACGATGTCCTGCGTGGGCAGAGAGGTGGGATGAGCCACAGCGGGGCAGGGACGCTGTACCCTCCATCAGGGCTGGCTCCAATACCCCAGTGCGGTGCTAGGGGGCACTGTGCTGAAGGGAGCAGGGCAGGGGGCTCTCCCTGGGCAGTCAGGGCTGGCCCCGATGCCCCAGCCCGGCACTGGGGGTGCTGTACTGCAGGGAGCAGGGCGAGGGGGATCCCCCCAGCAGTCAGGGCTGCCCCAATGCCCGGCGCTAAGGGGCTCCCAGCTGCCCCTCCCAGAGGTGGCTGCACCTTAGCACCAGGTGAGCTGACCCAGTGCAGTGTTATGTGCAGCTGTTCCAGCTCAGAAGTGGCTGCATCTCTGCACCATGCAAGCCATCCCCAGGATCCCTACCCTATTGCGCCTCCCTCCCCCATTACCTCCACCGTGCTCAACCAGTGCTGGTAGGATGCGTCCAGCAGCTCCTCGCTTGTCCCGCTGCTGAGAGACACACACGGGGGGCGAGTCAGAAACAGAGCGGCGGAGGGGAAGGCGAGGGCAGGGGAGCTCGCAGGGTCTTACGGGAGGGCTCCAGATGTGCTGTGCTCGAAGAGCGACTTCAGGAAGTGGAAGCGCAGCTGGCAGGCCGTCCGCACGTCCCGCTGCAGAGAGACGGACAGACATTTGGACGGGTTACCGGGGTGGGGAGGAGACGACGGCCCTCAAGAAAGCTGCAGATCACCAGGAATCACTGGTGGAATCACCAGGATCTACTGGATCCTCCCCCTTTATTGGGATCCAGGCACCAGGCTCAGTGAGATCCCTCAGGATCCCAAAACCTTATTGCCAATGGCCCGACAGACTCCCCCCGGGTCCCGGCACCAGGCTCAGTCCGATTCGCTCCTCCTCCCCAACCAAACCCCATCACCAGATCCCACGGTGAGATCACCAGAGCCCCATGCTGGCATTCACAGGGCTCAGATCACTGGGTACCCTGTGTCACTAGATCCTGCCTTGGGATCTCCAGATCCCCTCAAGATCCCAGGACTGGGATCCCCAGATCACCATCCCCAACTAGCACAGGGGAGCAGGATTCCCAAATTCCTCTCCACCCAGCTGGGAATCTACCCACTGTCCCCTCCCCACTCACCAGTACTTCAGGCTCCACGCCAGCAAATCCGAGGTCAGGCACCTTCCCTCCCACCGTCAGCTCCACCTTGGCCTTTCTGCAGAGAGCAGAGGAGGCCGTGAAAATGGGGTGGGGGAGGGAGGAAGCACAGTTCAGGACATCCCCCCACCCTCACCCCAACCCAGGCCCCATCCTCAGTGGGACTCTGCCATGGAGCAAAGGATCCGGAGAGACGCTACCCAGGATGGGCAGTCCCCTATCCCTAATGCCACATGCCATGGGACCCCCTCCCAAGGAGCAAAGGATTCTGGGAGTTACTACCCAGCAGAGATGTTCACTGGGTAGTGCTTTGGGAGCAAAGGATTCTGGGGGATGTGACCAGGAGCAATGGGGACCCCATGCTAAGGACGGAACCACCCCCCCACACACCTGCTGATGTCCTGCAGCTGCTCCAGCCGCCCCCCCAGCTGGGTTACGCTGCCCTGCAGCTGCTGGCGCTCCTTGGCCGTGCGGGCCGCATAGGCCTTGAGCAGCAGGGAGCGGCGCTGGGCGTCGCGGATCCGCTCCTGGGCCGCCTCCAGGGAGACCTCTGTGGGGTGGGAGGCGAAAGAGCATCAGGGAAACCCCCACCCCGAGCCCCAGATGCTAACCGCTAGGCCTCACTCCCCTCCCAGAGCTGGGGATAGAACCCAGGAATCCTGAGGTGATGGGTGTGAATCCCACAGGCAATTGTCTGGAGAGGGAGCATGGGGGGAAAAAGCAGCAGCCCCATGGGCCACGGGAACCTTGCGGCTGGGGAAGAGACCACGTGGGGAGATGGTGCCCCCAAGGAGGGCAGGGTAGGGGAACAATCCTGCCCCCCACGAAGAAATGGGGGGGGAAATGGATCTGGGCTGCAGTTGGACGATCCCACTGTGTGCTGGGGGAGAACAGATGAGAGGACTGGGGTGGACTTTGTGCCCTCCACCCCCACAGTGATGGGCTGGGGTAGAGCGCTGGGGGCACACACTATGCTGGCCCAACAGATCCTTGGGCCTCCCCCCTTACCGTCAGCCATGACCTCGCGCTGGGCCATCTCCATCTGCAGGTCCAATTGCTGCAGCTCCCCACGCAGGCGAGCCACGCCCTGGGCCAGCTTCTGGTGCCGCTCCTGCTCCGGTTCCGACCTGCTGGGCTTTCCCTGTGAGGAGGGGGAGACACCGACTGGGGGCGGGGCTTCTCCTGGACAGCCCCGCCCTTGAGTGTGCTACCCATCCACCCACCGCTATAGACCCAGGCATCCTGCTCACCCCACGGCAGGGCCCCTGTTCCACCCCACAGCACCCCAATCCCCCGCCCCACCGATCCCACCCCCATTTCCAAGACCAACAGCCCAGCAACAAGGCACCCACTGTCCCCTACCCTATCCCACCCCATAGCACCCCTCTGCATCACAATCCCACCCCAACTGACTTCCCACCCTATCCCACCCCGCAGCACCACCTGATCCTCACTTGCCCCACGACTCCATCCCCTACCCTGATCCACTCTATCCCACCCCACAGCACCCTGATCCCCTTCCCCGCCCCTCCAAATCCAGATTACCATCTCCTACCCACCGCCCCCACCCACCACACCGCACAGCATCACCCAGTCCCACCCACAACACTCGTCCCGTCCCATCCCACTGACAGCCCTCACCCACACGCCCCTATCCACACCTGCCCCATGCCCCATTCAACCAGCAGTCTCCACGGGCCCCCTCACCTCTGCCTCCTCCAGATGCTGGTACCTGAGGCAAGGCCTGAGTAAAGGAGGCTGAACGTGGAGAGCGACAGAGGCCTGAACGGACAGACGTCAGGGAGAGGTCGGAGCCACCAGGCTGGGGGGGTCCAAGGCCAGGAGACAGACACCAGCCAAGGGTCAACAAGGAAATTAAACCCGCTCCCCACTGCTATAGGGGAACGGGGACACCGGGCTGGATGGGCCCAGGGGCTTGATCTAGGAGGCAGGGACGGGGTGGGACACTGGGCTGGATGGGCCCTTTGGTGAGAAAGTTGCCCATAGTAAGAAGTCCCCAAGACGGAGGGGGACGAGGAAAGGATACCACAACAAGTTCCCTCGGATCTTCTTCACATTCCTGTGAGGAAAGAGAGAGGGATGAATCTACTGCAGACAGCAATGGCTCTGGGAGGGGAGTGGGGTCCAGTGGTTAGAGCAGGGGGGACCAGGAGAAAAGCAGAAGGCCCCATGTCCCATTCCCTGCCTCCCTGAGCCAGCCAGTCCCTCGCTGTAGGGCCGTGTGGGAGCCAGCGGCCCTTTGAGGGGAAAGGCCCCACGCCCCATTCCTCTCACCTCTGGTGGTGCACGTGCCGGGTGACGTATCTCCAGATCTC